TGTCTGTCTGTCTATCTATCTATCTATCTATCTATCTATCTATCTATCTATCTATCTATCTGTTGTCTGTCTGTCTATTGTCTGTCTGTCTATCTATCTATCTATTGTCTACCTATCTATTTATCTATTGTCTATCTATCCATCTATTGTCTATCTATCTATGTCTATCTTTCTATCTATCTATCTATCTATCTATCTATCTATCTATCTATCTATCTATCTACATTCATCTATCCAAAGATGGGATATGTATCTATCCATCTCTCTCCTTCATCTATCTATTTACCTGTCTGTCTGTCTGTCTGTCTATCTATCTATCTATCTATCTATCTATCTATCTATCTATCTATCTATCTATCTATCTATCTATGGTCTACCTATCTATTTATCTATTGTCTATCTATCTATCTATCTATCTATCTATCTATCTATCTATCTATTTATCTGTTGTCTGTCTATCTATCTATCTATCTATCTATCTATCTATCTATTGTCCACCTATCTATTTATTTATCTATTGTCTATCTATCCATCTATTGTCTGTCTGTCTGTCTGTCTATCTATCTATCTATCTATCTATCTATCTATCTATCTATCTATCTATTGAAAGAGACAGATAGATGGATAGATACATAGATAGAGTGACAGACATAGATAGAGATAAATGATTAGATGAAAGACAGACGCAGGCACGCGCACATTTGGGCTGGATGGAAAAAACCAGGTCTCAACTGCTTTCTTGAAACGCTGGGAAAAACAAAGCCGATATTTTTACGGGCAGGTTAAGCAAATGCTTTCGGGTTTTTTAAAAATTATTTTACTTTTCTGTTATTTTTCTTCCGCGAAAGTGCTGTGCTACAAGATCGAAGAGCTGGGTGAAGATCTCAAGGCCCATTACAAAATAGACGAATTCTCCTCTGTGACGGTGCCTGCGCAGGTAGGTTAACGGGGCTACAAGCTGATAGCAGAAGTGGGGCTAAGGAGGAGGGGCAGCCCCCTTGTTCCAAGCCTGTGGCCCTTTGGGGGTGGGGGTTGGGGGTGTCTGGAAGCAAACAGCATCTCTGATTGCACTGCTGTCTTTTCAATGCCCGCCGGAAGGAGCCTGTGACCGTCTTGGGCCAGATTGCGTGTGATTCGAACGGGAAACTGAACCCCCAATCCGTCATCCTAGAAGGGGACCGCGAACATTCGTCGGGGGCTTTCATCCCCATCGACATTTCTGAGCTCACGGATTATTCTTTGTTCCCAGGACAGGTAAGAGCTTAAATCAGTGTTTCTCAGCCTGGGTGGACTTTAATAATGTTTGGACTTCAATTCCCAGAATTCCCTAGCAAACATGCTTTGGAGGGGTGGATTTCAAGTGTGCATGGAGGCTGGGGGGGATTCTGAGAGTGGAGTCCACCCCTCTTAAAGCATGCTAGGTGGGGGATTCTGGGAGTTGAAGTCCACCCCTCTTAAAGCATGCTAGGTGGGGGATTCTGGGAGCTGAAGTCCACCC